ATTTCTTGGGATGGATTTGTATATATTGAGCTAAAATTACACCTATTCTAGAAAACTCGAAGTTGGTGTGTGTGTGTTTGGATTGTGGTAGTACAACGGTTTTGTCGGCGTATTCGCAACCTGTTATTGGCAATTCAAGGCGATCATGCCGTTTTACATGGGTGTGACCTGTTACTCTCGTTTACAATTCTGCGGAACCATTCTGTCAATACACGGAGCTCCTCACTGAGAAATATCGAAACAGCGCATTCTAAGTCTGAGTGATATGTCCAATATCCGATGGCCAACGAACCAAGTCGCATAAATCATAAACTGTTCACAAAAAATATTAGGTGCTGTTGCCTTTTTTCCTGTAGCATGGAAATCTTGTTCGAAACAAGAGAGTTTCCAAGCTTCCAGTTAACGGTTGACATTACAGGCAGCTCGTTTATATCCGTCGAGCTCAGGCTAATCGTGGAAGTCCTCAATTGCCCTAATAACAGACTGCTATCTACAAGGTCTCAGTCTCGTAGGCCATATACCTTCTTGGCTTTTAAAGTAGCGTTGAATTTTGTATGGAGTGCTTTCAAATATGATGCTAATACCAGAACTGGTTGCGGAATCGGTATTTAGTATAGCGAGGTAGGCGGCATTCCTAAAACGGGTTCACGTCAAGATGAAGACCGTCTCAGTATTCACTATACTGCTGAATATTGATCGATTGGGGTATGAAAAAGCGTATGAATATACTCAGGGAAAGAAGTACAGACCTACCCCTTCTAAGACCGCTAGGGATTTCAATATGCATTGTAATTCTTAGACCTTAAAAGCTTGAGGTACTATCTATATTCGTCATATAGGGTTTATTGAGTGTTGAAGGCTGTGTATCGTCAACCAGCCGGTTAAACTAGTTAGTAAAAGACTGGAATATTCCAGAGATGGAACATGGATACTACTGCACGCATGTGCTGGATTTGGCAGACGACGTCTCGGTAGCAGCGAAGCTGACGGTGGTCCTTTGCGGCGGGCCGCCGGAAGGTAGTGAACAGCTGCTTCTAATTGGCCTGCTCGCCGAGCGTACGGCGAATGCATGCAGTGTATACGCGCCAGCCAATCACAGCGTCGCAAGTTGCACTGCATTCCGCCGAGAGACCGGCCCTTAATGTCAGACTGCGCCCCGTCACACGAGTCTTGGGAAACTGCACCTCTCTCTTGAGCTTCTTATGAGTATGGCTTTTGTGGCTCCTCAAAGACCTGCGCTGTCTTAGTCAAAGTACCGACCAGGCCGAGCTTTTTTACGATGCACATCCAAAATCCAAACCATGCACTATACGCGGCGACCAATGACGCCCTCATGGGTTTGCCAGTGCGAACCAAAGCACCTCGAGTGCGTGCCTTTTCTCCAAAGGTCCGCACGGGATGTATAACGTGGTATGTTGCTGTCAGTCCGTGTTGAACAATTGTTGCTGCTGCTTCATCTTCGTCCTTTTGTTACGACTGTGTTGTCGATTCACACAAGACATTGTGGCCTTTATCCCAGAGTCACACTTGCGTCCTTTCTCCTTCGTCCTTTCTTCTTCATCCGAGGCTTCATGAAGTTCTTATTAACCCTTTGCGACAGCAAGTAAGTGTACTCTATTGTTGCTGTTGTATGAGGACGTGCCAGGCTTCCCTCAATACATACACACAAGCCACCATCGTTCTCCATGTCCCACATCTTCTGCCCCAGTCCTATGCGTGGGGAAAGCGGATTGTCCCAACATGTTCATCTGAGCACGGACAAAGGCTGACATAACACCTTGAACTTGCTAGAATGCGCCGGAAGAAATGTGACGAAGAGAAACCAACCTGCCGCCGATGCAGGGAAAGTCAGGTCAAGTGCGATGGATACGCGCCTGTACCCGTCTCACAGAAGAAGCCAGCCTCCCAAAAGCAAACGGCTGCCAAGAAGAGAGCTATCAAGCAGACACAAGAGATGGTGCAACATGTAGCCAGCCAGTCGCAACCACGTTTCATCATCCAAGGCAATCGGCTCAACTTCGACATTGACGGCGGCGTTTACGACCGCATGTTCTTCCATCATTTCCGCGCCATCACTATAGTCGATTTCGTCCACGTCATCAATCCTAGGGATTTCTGGTCCCAGAGGGTGCTTCCAATGTGTTATAACGATCCTGCTGTGCGCAATACCGTCGTTGCGCTTGGCGCAGCTCACTATCTCTATCTTCAAAAGCTCCAAAGCTCTAATTCTGGAGACACTAACGCGTCCATGTCCCACTTCGAGTGTGTTGCGATACAGTATTACAACAATGCCATTGCAGAGTTAGTTAAGCTTAACAACGGCGACAAGTCAACATGGGACACTCAGCTCAAGACCCTTACCTGCTGCCTACTATTTATCTGTCTTGAGAACATTTTAGGCCGCTCTGAAGAAGGAATTCGCCATATACAAGCTGGCGCCCGTCTCCTTAAAAATTCCGACTTCTCGATTGCCCCACAGAATTTACAACAGCTTATGCAAGAGATTGCAACTGTCTTGCTTCACTTTTTCGTCGATGTGGCCTATCTCGAGGAAGAACACAACATCCCCAATATGGTACCCTACGCCCTACCTACAACAGAGATCGGCGATGGGCTGGAGCCATTTTCAAGTCTCCAAGAAGCCAAAGACACCATATGGGACCTAGATGTCAAAATGGCCTATGTGGGATCTGGCAAACCCGATTCAGATGAGGCACCCGACCCCGAGTGTTGTATGCTCGACGTGGCCCCTTTCATTGAGCCTTTTAAACGCTGGAAGATCAAATTCAACAATCTTATCTCGTCCCAAATCGACTCTCCGAATGTTCCCATTGACGTCCAGCGGGAGACAGTGAACCTCATGCTCCGCCGCTGCATGTGGGACATAATGCTACTCCCAGAAGGCAAAAATTCAGACGAAGAACTAGCGAAACTCAATCATGAACTGGTCGATCTGGTGGAGCTCCTGTACAGCATCGAGGCCTCCTCGATCGGCCGGCCTATTTTTGTATTGGAAGGCGACACTATTCCCGCACTGTACTTTTCCGGTTTATTTTCGGAAGATCCTGTCTTCGTCCAGCGCATTACCACCCTCTTGCGTGAGTCTCCAAGACGCGAAGGTCTTTGGGATAGCCGGCAAACGGCAGATAAGCTGTCAGCTGAGTTCAGGAGTCTTGCTGCTTGTCCATCAAAAAATTGTTCATTAAAGGCTTGCCCGTCAAAATTGATCCCGCCTCCTTCGACTCCCGGCCTTCTTCTAGATACCACCCCGGAACTCATTCTGGACACCAGTCCAGAAGTCACTCTGGATTCCACTCCGGAACTGAGTCCGGAGCCTATCCCGGATTTCTTTTCATATCCTGTTCTTAAAGAGGAAACATTGTAACGTCCATCCCTACGTGGCGGGACACCCTGCGTCACGGGATGCCACGGACACTCCCCAGCATTATAAACTCAACAATACGTTAGAAGAATAGATGTTCTCGGAAAAGGAGCCTTAAGGTGCTAACTCTATTCTCTCTTTATCTTTTCTAGAGATATGTTTTACTTACTATTGAAAACGACAGTTTCTATAAGCGTTATATAATCTACTTCACTTTAACTAGTAGTAGATAGGTTAAAGGCTTAATTGGTCGTAGTATTACGCATTGGTTTGTCGAACGTGGAGCAAAAAATCTCATTTTGATCTCGCGCTTTGGCGATGACAAGCAGGGACACAACATGATTGAAGAACTGCGCACATCTGGGATCCATGTGCTCAGCCTGGTATGCGACATTGAAAATCCGCCGAGTTTGAAGCGGGCATTAGAGAATTGCTCGAAGACAATGCCGCCTTTCTGAGAGTGTATTCAAGCTGCAATGACCATCCGCGTAAGCTCGAAGCTGTCTCTCTAGAACTATGCTAACAAATTGCTGCCAGGACTCAACGTTTTCTACCATGACTTGGGATGATTGGAATGCGGTAACGTCGGCCAAGGTACAGGGATCCTGGAACCTCCACGAATCACTCCCTACAGATATGCATTTTTTCATCATGCTCTCATCCATGGCAGGCATCTTTGGAAATGTTGGCCAGTCTAGTTGTTGCGCCGGAAACACATATCAGGAAGTACTTGCACGATATCGAGTATCAATAGGCGAGAAAGCGTCCAGCATTGACCTCAGCATCGTGACGAGTCAGGGCTACGTCGCTGAAAACCAGATAGTGATGGATCGTCTGACAATGCTCAACCTTTTCCGTCCACTCTCGATAAGAGAGGTCCTCGCCCTTCTCGACTACGTTTGTAACCCCAACTTGTCTCCCAGCAGACCCTGTCGGAGCCAAATTGTCACCGGATTTGAGTCGCCAGCCGACATCGAGTCAAAAGGACGAGATGTACCCAGCGCAATAGAGAGGCCTTTCTTTCAGAATATGCGACAAGCAGAATGTACATTCAAGTGTGGCGATAACCTGGCGTCACATGTACGCACGTTGCGATCGGCATTTACGGAGGCGACCTCAGAAGATGCGGCGGCATCGATCGTCGCGAAAGCGCTGAAGATGAAGGTCAGGCGTGTGCTCGGATTACCAGCGGATCTGATCAGTATGAATTCTGCGCTAGACAGCTACGGCGTTGATCTCTTGATTGGCCTGGAGCTACGGAATTGGTTGTCAAAAGAGTCGGGCGCTGACCTTGCTGTATTCGGTATTCTGGGTGGAGCAACGCTACTGAGAATTGGCCAGATGGTAGCTGCGAAGAATTCGCTGAGGATTCAAAGCTAAGCACTAAAGAGGAGCAGAAGTCAAGACAGCATGCTGTCATCCCGTTAGTGTTGTTATCCGAGTGTTGTGTGTTGCCTGGCTGTTTCTGATGATCGACGTCGTGATGTAGTGCGTTATTTGTTTGACAAGAATACATATCGAATTAAGCTCCTTCACAAAGCTGTCACCACTGGCAAATTGAATTGGAGTAGGGAATATAGCCTAGTTCGAGAAGAAGCTATTTGAGGATATATACAAGATCTATGCAGAGCGGCAAGTGAACGGCTTATGCGCGGTTCCAGTTGTGGTAAGTTTGATTATGTCCGCAATCGTTGCGTAAGATCCGGCACCCAGCGTCACGATCCCAATGATGAACGCCAACAAGCAGGCCGCGCTCATCAACAGATTTTCTCTCGCAAAGGGGCTGCCCTTGCGAAGGAGACGGTACCACATCACTGCGGGAATCCAGAATGAGAAGCCGGAGACGAACAGCGCAGAGGCGAGGGATAGCAGGTCAGAAAATATAGGGATGGCTTCGGCAATAACCCACGCAATGATGGTGAAAATGATGACCAGTGCAATCCAGGAAGCCCAACCGGCGACCGTGTTAATATACTTCAACACCGAGTTCTTGAACATACGGCCGTGGATATAGCGCAGGGCGACAGTAGTGTTGATGCTACCGGAAATGAAGATGACAGGGAGCGCAATGCCAAATGCAATTTTCGAGACGAGCGTACCAGCCGAGAGGAGTGCTGGGGAATCGACCCCTTTGCCAATGAAAGCGTAGCACAACGCTCCGGTAAGCGTGTAGATGCAGATTTGAATGACGCCAGATGCCCAAATAGATTTCATATATTCTTGTGGCGTATGCATTTCGTCCATGAAGCTGAATTGTCCGATGGCAAAGCTGAAAGCGAAGATGATGTTGGAAACAGCGACGAAGGCTTCCGAAAAAGTCAAGTCCTCTTTGGGCCAGGCAGACCAGTCAACAGCAGACATGCCACCAGCCTTGTCACCAGCTTGGACACCGGTTGCGATGATGGTGATGCCGATTGCGATTAGGATGGAAGCAAAGTCAATGTATCCAAGGATGGCGACTTCAGAGAAAGAGGGCGGAATGGCGAGAATGAGCAAGATGATGGCGGAAACGGCAGAGAACACGATGGAACAGACATGGCCACCGTTAATGTTGATGAGCGCAATACTGCCGGTCAAGGCGTGCGAACCAACAACCATGACGAGTTCGAGCACCAGCGCAGCACCGAAGAGTTCGTAGCCGAAGCGGCCGAGCAGAAGGCGGCCTGCATCGGCGTAGGACGCGACCTCTGGGAACTTCAGCTTCACCTGGCCAACAATGTAGCTGGTAAAGATGGCAACGCAGCCCAGTCCGACGGTGAGCAGAACGCCTGGAAACATGCCGAGAGTTGCGTAGGCCTGGGGCAAAGAAAGCGCGCCAAGGGCGATGGCCTCAACGATGGTGACAACTGCGAGGCGCTTCCATCCCAGACGATGGAAGTGAGCATCTCCGTCTTTGGCGATTTGTTTGGCACGTTGCGATTCCCAGACCTCGCCCTCGCCGAACACTTGGTTGTCAGCTAGATTAGAATCGTTATCGTTCTTTTCATTCTTGCGTCGTGTCGACGGGATGTGTAAGGACATGTCGAGCTTGAAAGGAGGGAAGGTGACAGATGACGGCAATTAGGAATCAAAGAGATGCGAAGCTCAGATTTCATATAGCACAAGTGATGGAATGAATAAGAGCAGACAAGAAAATTGAACAAGACACCAGCCCCTCTCCACATGGTGCAAGATGCCCCATGGTACATATATCAAGGCAGATTCCCCGCAAGCTCGCCAAAAGTAATAGAATTGACACAACTAACACGATATCGTCATCTCCACACGTGGAGACCCAGCGCACAAGTCGGCATCGCCTTCCGGCGGTGCAGAGTCTGAGCGCGCCACTTGCTGCTCACGATGTTCTGGGTGTGATGTGAAGCATTCGGGAAGCATTCGGCCTGACTAGGCGTGCAGATCCTTGCTGAGCATCGCGTTGGTCTTTCCTGAAAGCGACAGCTAGGCGAGACGTTTTAGCTAATACAAGGATGGCCGGCCGTTCAACGGCTGCACTATTGCATTGCTGAAAATTCTTGATGCACTAAGTCGGTCCAAAGTGGATTCTATGTGTCGCCAGATTCTTCATACAGTGCTAGGCTTTACTGTTTGCGATACAGACATGGCAGTCTTTGGCCGCAGCGTTGCATTGCGCACATGCGCGTTACACTTCTTAACCGGGATGCGAACGTGCAATGTTGCGGTTATTCGAGGCCCAGATTCGTTGGGGCAGGCGAGCTGGAAGATGGGGTCAAAGTGACTCTTGGTTTCCATTCACGAGTTCCACCATTGCAAGTCTTTCTGGCGTATTCTCGGACCTACGAATCCTCCTCTGAGAGCGGCCATAGCGATCCGATCAGCGTCTATTTCCCCTCTTGCGCGCTGCCATCTACGATATCATGCAAAGCTCTTTCGAGTGTGATCTAGTTCAGGGTCACAGCATATGTTGGCGCATGAAGAATAGCGCGAGGAGGAGGCTTGGTCTCTCAAAACGCCAACGTCGATAGTACCGAACGGTCGTGTCCGTCGTTGTCGCCCAAGTAGCTAGTTCAGCCCTGGAACCCGTCACTTCCGCTCGATCTTGGCCCGCCTTCTCTTCTTACAAGTCTCATTGCATTGCTCTCTCGAGAAGAACTGTCTATTCCTTTATTACCCTTCTCTTGCCATGTCTCCATCTGCCCGCGTTACGCCCCAAAACAGCTCCTATGCCTACAACCTTCCTGCAGTAATGCCAACAAAAAAAGATCTCACTTATCACCTTTTTAACCTCGCACTCAGCCCCCTTAGAGATTTAGTACACTTTATACTCAAACTCGTCGCGTGATTCATCCTACACTCGTGACAACACGAAAGGAGTACTCCAACTCGACTACCTCTAACCGTTCATGTTTCGCCTGCACCCCATCTGCTTCCTCATACTTACAGCCATGTAATTGATTCCCTGCTCCCCCTTCTCCTATTGCCCTGCAAAAGAGCACTCAGCTCGTCAGCCCCATCAACTCGACCTCCCTTTACGTAGCTTCTCGATTACATCTCGTTTTTCTTATAGAATATGAGTGCTACTCAGAGCACTTGGAATTCATACATCGTCTGAGCGGCTCTCGGACGACGCGCTCAAACTCTTGGTGTAACCTTTCTTGGATCACTAATTAGTCACCGCACAATTAGTAGTCGTTGGCTCTCTATCGAACAGAATGTCTTATATACCAAAGCAGTTGCCCCACGGAGCGCAGCCCCTTATAAGTATAGCCCAACCCTGTGCCATACTAACGTTAACTGGCTTTGTATTACATAGACAAGTCACGTCATCTTTTCCCTGCGATCATCGCCCTAATACGGAGTCCAAGATGACTATTCACATAGTAAACGTTATAGAGCTACGCAGCTCTTATCAATGTTAGTGTCGCGTCATTTTGAACAGTCTAGAGTGCAAGCGGTGTCTAAGGTTCTCTTAAAGAGTTACCCACGTTATTAATTGAGTTATCGCGTACAATAGTCATTTAATAGTCAAATTTAATAGTGTCTTGTCGGTGTGGCAAACTCGCTATACGTTGACATTATTTGAGATAGAAAGACAGCAGACACTGAGCTAACTACAGGGGACCACTTCATCATATACCCAAGAGACAGAGCTAACTATAGGAGAGAGAAAGGAAACTTTTGCTGAAACAATCGGCCAGCTAGGGCAAAGGTCGCTGAGAGAAGCAGCTCATCCAGCTGTGAGCAGAGGCTAAGAAGCAAAGGCCAAATTAAAGAACAAAGAGCAAATGGCAAAGAATAGAAAGAAAGGAAGAAAGCAAAGGTGAGGAGACAGGAGCGGAAGGAGAAGGACATGAGAGTTGATGAAGCCTTCTGGGCTTGATCCCTTATAGATTCCCTTGCCTTGTTGTCCTATGCTTCCTCCTACGTAGGCTAAGAATGCTTTCTAGCCGCCTGAGGAAAGCTAGTCTGGTCTTGACACAGGGTCACCTTTCTGGAGTGAATCAGCAACTGTATTCAGCAGTATCTCGACTGCATGCTCATGGCCATGAACTGAAGCTAAGCAGAGTGCTTTGATGTAGAACCCATCTTGTGCTTCAACGTCGGCGCCCACATCGACGTCGGCGCCCGCGTTCAGTAGTATCTTAACCACCTGCCGGTGGCCTTCCACTAAAGCTACGCATAGTGCATAATCGTAGACTTTACTCTGGGCGTCAACGTCGACACCCGCGCCAAGCAGCGTCTTGACCACCTGCTTGTGGCCTCTAGCTGAAGCTAGGTATAGTGCGTTAACGGGAGCGCCCGCTTTGGCGTCAGCACCCGCATTCAGCAGTATCTTAACCACCCGCTCGTGGCCTTCGCACGACGCTGCCTGTAGCGCGCTGGAATACTCTCCACCCTGCGCATTAACTTCAGCCCCTGCATTAAGCAGCATCTTGACTATCTGTACATAGCCTTCATACGATGCTGCTTGCAATGCAGTACCGTATTTTCCACCCTGAACATTAACATCAGCCCCTGCGTTAAGTAATGCCTTAACCACTTGTCCATAACCTTCTACTGAGGCTGCCTGTAGTGCATTGCCATGCTCTTCACTTTGCGCATTAATATTAGCGCCCGCGTTTAGCAGTATCTTAACTATCTGCTCGTCGCCTTCCGCTGAAGCTGCTTGTAGTGCGTTGCCATACTCTCCACCTTGCGCGTTGACCTCGGCACCTACGTCAAGTAAGGTCTTGACTATCTTCTCTTGACCCATATAAGACGCTGCCTGTAGTGCGTTGCTATACTCTCCACCTTGCGCGTTAACCTCGGCACCTACGTCAAGTAAGGTCTTGACTATCTTCTCTTGACCCATATAAGACGCTGCCTGTAGTGCGTTGCCATACTTTCCACCTTGCGCGTTGACCTCGGCGCCCGCATCAAGTAACATCCTAACTATCTCTTCTTGACTACTCCCACTCCTACACAAGGCTGCCTGTAGTGCGTTGCCATACACTCCACCCTGCGCGTTGACCTTGGCGCCTCTGTCTAGCAATGTCTTGACTATCTTCTCTTGACCACTGTAAGACGCTGCCTGTAGCGCGTTGCCATACGATCCGCTATGCGCGTTGACCTCAGCGCCTGCGTCGATCAGTATCTCGACCACCCGTTCGTGGCCTTCCTTTGAAGCCGCCTGCAGCGCATTTCCGTATTTGAATCCTCCACCCTGCGCGCTGATCTCGGCGCCCTTACGAAGCAGTAATTGCACCATCTCAGGTTGGCCATACTGTGCTGCAGAAATCAAAGGAGTCCATCCCCGGCTATCTTTAGCGTTTACCGCCTCTGCAATAGGCACATTCACAGTAGCCAACACCTTCTCAGCTATATCAGGGAGTCCAAACTGTGATGTGTAGTGCAAGGGTGTACGAACAGGATAACGTGTGCTATAGCAATTGTACTTGTAGTCAGAGGCGAATAAAACTTCTTCAATAGATGAAAACGAGTTTCCTTGGAGGAGCTCACAGGCACGAGCGGCGACCTCTGCTTCGACGGGTTTCGCATGGCGTGCCCAATACTTGGCCGCATAGTCCAGGAAGCTATTTTGCTGCAACCTTTCTCTGAACTCTTTGTCATTGGGGCAGCTGCCACTCTGGAAAGCGCTGAACGACAGATACTTAAGGCATGTGGTAGCGATATACACATGGCCTCTGGGGTTCCACAGGTCTCCAGTGCGCTCGAAGTATTCCTGTGTAGTATAATGCACGAGACGAATGATATCACTCTCTTGGTCAACAGTGACAAGACCAGCGCATACAGAGATCAGGTCCTCCAGAGTACGTACGTTCTCTGGGTCTATCTCGTCTTCCCCATCCTCTATTGCTAGAGCGCAGCAGATCTCGGCGGTAGTAAGCTGTCGTTCGGCGAGCGTGATCCACGACAGGACCTCTCTAGCCAATTTACAGTCCACCTCTGACTGACTATCGATTCTCTGAAGAGTAGTATCATATGCGTCTTCAAGTCCAGCTGCCCCTTTTTTGAGTTTGGACAGAATTTCTTTCACCTTTTTCGTGGTTATTTTGCCTCGTAGCGAATTTGTGTATAGAAAAGCAAGTAGAAACCTATAGCTGTGTAAGTACGGATAACTAGTTTGATTGTATAGAATACTCACATGCCATCTGCTGCATCTGCTATTTTCTCCTGCACTGCTTTCTGCAGCTCTGTGTCGTGCTGTATGTATGGAGATAAAGTATGCATCTGCCCAGCCACAAAACGCTTGACATCTTCTCTGCTAGCCTGCACCTCGAGACTTGGCCCTCTACTCAATGCATCCTTGATGTCTGGCATAAACCGCGAGGTGACCATCAGGCGAATATCGTGTATTGCTTGGAGATCTCGGAGTTTGGCCAGGAACTGGCAACGAGTGTCTTCATGGCATTCATCCAGTGCATCGACCACTATATATACAGATTGATAAGATGCAATCACGTCTCGAAGCGTGTCATAGATCTCGAAGAGGGATGGCTTAGTTCCACGGTCGGCATGCTTCAGATACAATTCCTCTAAGCGATCTGCCTTCGATAATTGACCCTGGACTAGCTGCTTCAGAATGGCTGCCAGTAGGCTCGAAATTTCTTGTTCCTCTCGAGCTTTGTAGTTACAGTACACATAAGCGACCCCATGCGAACTGTCCTGGACTGTATTTAGCAAATGATCAATTGCAATAGCTGCAATCATGGTCTTGCCAGCTCCAGGGATACCTGGGCAGAATAGCGTAGCCCTACTCTCATTGATCCAATGTGCAAGTTCATGCGTATTGAGAAACCACTGTCCGGTCCCCTCCTGCTTATTCTTGATGATACTCGATTGCTGAGCGGGGTAGTCTGAGGCCGATATCCATTTCAGGAGCTTGCTGTGCTTTGCAGAATCTTGGTTCCCTTGAATCGTTTCTACCCCAGAATGGATAGCAGATACATGCTCCCGAACGAACTTGGTGTCAGCTTTAACAGCTTTCGAAAGTTTGCTTGTATATGTAAGTAAGCGACGTTGCACTGTCGTGTTATTTTGACAACTTACAATTGATCCATATGCAACGCGACCAATATATGTGTCTTGAGCCGCTCTATTCGAGCTAAAACCTCTGAAATCTCCTCCTTTTTGAACTTCCACATAAGCGCATTACTAGCTTTCTTGAGTCGACCCCCGTCAGTCATCCTAGCTTGTAACGTTTCCAGCGCCTGCTTGAACTCGTCTAACGGTCCATTCTCGACTGCAAGCTCTCGAACAGCGACATAACATGACTGGCTGGCTTCTTCTTCTTCTAAGTGGAATCTGAGACTGAGGAGAAGGCTGTGAAGATTTGAAACCTCCACTGCGCATTTCGCGCGGTCCTTTGGTGCATCCTTGACGTCGTTCAGGTAGCTGAGCACCTTAGCTGAAAGCTGGAGAATCGCAACGATGCTGGCCGTGACACTGAGTGGGTCCATACTGAAAATAACAGCGATCTGGTTTTGAGCATCTACCAGCTAACAATGATGAGAGTGTAAAGGCTGACACGATGAATGAACGGTTAGGCTGAAGAGGATGCAGCGGCAAGGCCGAGCAGCTGCAGGCGATGGCCACCTGTTAAGATCCTTGGAAACGCTTACAAATATGCACCAATGCAGACTAGGAAGTAGTTTGGAGGATGCAGCCCGAAACACTGTGCTGCAATCCTTCTAACCGTGCCGCAATCACGTGACTTACTCTGTGACCAGTATGCCTTGGCACTACTGAGTAGTTGCATGAAGCTTAAGTATATAGAAATATGCAATAGGATGACATGGCCTGGGATGTTCAACTTCAGTTATGATTACAAGTACAGGGTACAAGTCGCTTGCACAAACTTGTTCATGCATACTGTCACTTCATCCGCGAAAACCAACCCTGAGAGCCCTTGACACTAAAATCTTACATTGCTTCTACTCAAGAATCTTACTCCTAAGAGTGAGTTGACCGGAAACCGTATGTGGCCAGAGAGTTCATGACCGAGCTTACAGCCTCTAGTAATACAGTTCAGTTTATCTTTCTCGACGTTCAATATAGAAAGGATTCGATTTCTTTGAACCGGACTGAACACCTTCAAGACAACTCTTCGATGGAATCACGCAGGAAAGCGCCCCGAGACGCTGTTGCCAGTCTTTGAGCTACGCCCTGTCAACTACTCTACACTACCTCTAATAAGACTCCGTTCGATTAGTCTATAGCAATAGAATCTGTATTCGTGTCTGTCCCTTCTTCCTATGAGCCCGCACCGTGACAGAGAAAGAAAAGGAACGAGGGAGTACAATTCCCACGAAGATATATACAGCCAGCTGGAACATCAGTCAGTCCGACGACTGAAGTTTGACCTGCACATGAACGACGACGGCAAATTGTGTTATCGTCCATTGCTTTGGAAACTGTCGAAGTTGCTCAGAGTTCAACCACGATTCGACAGTTGGAGTATTCAACACATCCGGCATCAGAGTATTCCACACCAAAAACACAGACATAAATGTTGTGTGCCACACCTTTAAAGACTGTCTCCATCCAATCAAAAAGTGGTCAGACGCCCACCGCACCAACACCCCCATCATTGTCAGTCTCGAGCTTAAAAAACAACAACCCCGATGCCTACTTCAATGGCATCACAAAAAGATATAAAAAAAGAAGAGGTAGAATGCCCCCCTCTGGACTATTCTCAATACACACAACGGAGTAAAGAAAGGGGAACGAGAGATGCGAGTGTACGGGATCGAATTATTTACGGGTTGGGGCTTACATTTTATGGTGTTTAATCGTGGTGGGGGTGTTCGGTTTTGTGAATGAATTTTTTTTTTAAAAAAAAGATTCTGGAACGTAGAGCCTAGTTACTGGAGTTGATTTAGAATGCAGTATTTGTATTGATTCTATAAAGGAGCACCAGAATCTCTGCTAGATGAGCTAGGAGTTACAGCAGTAGCTAGTCACAGTAACGTTGAGCTCAATATGTCACCTCAGTGCCCGCTTGAGGGCCGTGGTCATGATGTTCATTCAAGACAGACATTGCCCATAATAAGCAACATAGAACACTAGAGGTAGCTTGATGAATCATATATGAATTACCGTATCCTTGAACTATAATTTTGCGCCCACAGGACCCTGCGCCTTGATAGCTTCATCAATAGCAGCCATAGCATGCAGCAGCCTCTCATCCTGAAGTCTCGGCGCAACAACCTGTACGCAAAGCGGCGTGCCGAGATAAATCGAGCGATCAAAGTTTGTCCCTGCATATCTATCAGCACAACACCCACGTAAAACATTGAAAAAAAAAACTTACACAAAGCCCTATTCGCTTTATCCCAGCTCCCCAACTCCTTCCCCTCCATCTCCCCACGCATATCCCCCTTGCCAAACCGCCTCACAGGAACCACACCCGCGGGATAATCCAGCAGCACAAACGAGCTCGTGTAGCTAACCCCATTGTATCCATCAATTGGGGGCACAGGATGCGGCGCAACGGGACATATAAAGGCATCAATCTCGCCACCTTGCTGCTTCCAAATCTTTAAAAACTCTGTTCGTAATTTCTCACGCTTACCATGTAGTTCCTGGACTTTCTGCAACGGCATGGGCGCCTTGCGTTTAAGACGCGAGGAGAGCCAGGGGGATAAGGGTTCACCGGTTGATTCGATGAGGTCGAAGATTGCGTTTCCGCCTTCGACACCGAGGAGGGCGTTGCAGAGGGACTGGCATTGGGAGAAGAGCGGGGTGATGTCCATTTCCACGACTTCGACACCAGAGGTGAGCAGGGCGGATTTGACTTCGTCGAGGAGGCGCAGGATGGGTGGGTGGGGATCGATGACGCCGTCGCGGCGGACGATGCCGATACGGAGGGGGCGCTTGGGGAGGGAGAGGGAGGGCCAGGGGAGGGGCGCAACGTCTGGATCGGCTTCCCAGGGTTTTTGGGCGGATATGGCGTGGAAGAAGAGATTGATGTCGCGGATGCTGTGGGCGAGGGGCCCGGCGCTGGCTGGGATGCCGATTTTTGAGGCTCCTGGAAGGGCGCCGCTTTCTTGGCCGGCGTAGGGGATACGCTCCCAGCTGGGCTTGACGCCAAAGGTTCCGTCGCACATGGATGGGATGCGGATGCTGCCTCCGACGTCTGTACCTACGCCCAGAATGGAACCGCGCATGGCGAGTAGGGCGCCCTCGCCGCCAGAGCTTCCGCCCGCTGTTACGGCGGTGTTGAGCGGGTTGATGGTGCGGCCAAAGACATTGTTGTGGGAATCCAGGGCCATGAGGGTTTGCGGGACATTGGTTTTGCAATATAAAACAGCCCCGGCGTTGAGCAGGCAATCGACTATGACGGCGTTTTCAGTCGCGGGCTTGAAACACAGCGCGGCAATACCGATAGATGCGTCGAAGCCGCGGACCTTGAAAGAATCTTTGAGGGAGACTGGCACGCCATGAAGAGGCCCAAGAGGCGGTTTTCCTGAGGCCAAGTGAGCATCAAGCTCTGAGGCTCTCTTTAGCGCATCATCGAAGAAGATTTCTGTAAGGCAGTTTGTGAGTTGGTGTGCAATGGCTGCTCTCTATGTTGGTATTAGTGTCTCATCTATATTTCAAACATTCTACATGGACACAGTGCTTACTTTACAAAATGCTGTAGCCACATCAAGACAATTCAGTCGCTTTTCCCTAATTGCAGCAGCCAATGCAACAGCATCGTACTGCTCCGTGATTTGGAGCTCTTGTTCAGTCAAAAGTCCACATTGGCGTGGTATCTCAGTATAGTTGGTAACCTCGGGTCCGGGCAGAGTGCTCAGCTTCCAGTCTGCTGGTATGCGCGAATCCCGCTCAGCTTTCTTTTGCTTGGAGATAGGCTCCCAGTTGGCTGGCGCTGATGATTCTCTGGCTGACATGTTGATGGTTGACAATGGTGGAGTGCCGTAGTGTGACGTTGTGAGGGCTGGATGAAGCTGGGGTAGAAGCCGAGGTTGGCCAAATCCGGAATAGCGGCTGGGGCACAGAGAGCCAGGGTGCAGGTGGGCTTGAGGGGCGACTCTCTCGACAGTCTCTTGGTCGTCTTCTTGGTCAACCATGTCAATATTTGTCCCAAGGCTCAGGCGCACCAAAGCCAATGCCTCAACACGGTTCGCTGCTCCATTCTCGCCCAATTCAAGCTGTGTAACATGGTATTTTCTTGTCTTCTTCTTCTTCTTGCTCTCAAGACGATGCGCTGAGATAGCAGAATGCCCTTCCACGCTATGGCATGTGTGCTGGCGGCTAGAGCATGCACCGAAAGACGCCCAGTGACCTTGGCATTATGGGAGTGAAGATTCAAGGAGCCATTGGTAGGATGCGTTGAGCTGAGTGAGACGGGGCGTAATTCAGGACATTCATCCAGGATGTCGACTTCGCACTGCACGGACTCCAGCAACACCATGAGAGCGCGTCGCAAGAATTCGTCGGACAGAAAAGACGTCACATGTTTTCGCGGCGAGCAAGGGGATTGCGGCATGCTGGAACGGGACGAAAAGGGAGAAGAATCGCGTTGCTGGCTGACCCCTGGCTAAGACCGGGCAAGGCGCGAGCAGTAGCGCCGATCCTTGCCCTCAACGGCGAGTCCCTGACCCTGCCCCAGAATATTTTCCCTTTTTGCGGTCTTTGGCCATCTGGCACCCCGACGCACGCTGTCACTGTGCTTCTGCTTATTGTTAAGCTAGACCGCCCATTGGCGTGGTTGGGTCACTACTTTCTTGTTTTCTTCTTCATCATCTCTCTCACCCTTGGCTTCTCCGTTGCCTTCTCACCCTCTTTTTAATAGACACGGCCTCTGTTTATCATCCCGACATGGAGACCACAAACTCGTCACTGCCCAAGGGCGCGCACCCTTACTATCCTGTCGAGAAGGAGATTGTTGGCTACCTGGCCAACACAAGCGGCACCTTTGACCTGGTGCTCAAGTTCACGGCTGGGTGCGTGGCCATCTTCGGTGTCACGTATGTTATGGTCAAGCGGTCACGGCCCAATGCCAGCACCGGGGACCTGGCCACCATCATGTGGTTTGTCCTGTGCGGATGCATCCACTCGTTCTTCGAGGGCTACTTTGCCTACAACTTCCGCAACATGGGCGGCATGAACGACCTGTTTGGCCAGCTGTGGAAAGAGTACGCGCTGAGCGACTCCCGCTACCTGACCCAGGACGCCTTTGTGCTCTGCATGGAGACCATCACTGCTGTATGTACTTGCCAGACTAAGAGGTTGATCATCGTGCGCTGTGTCACGGACTGACCCTTGCTGTAGGTATTTTGGGGCCCGGGCTCCTTCCTGACTGCCTACCTCATCTCCATCGACCACCCGCTCCGCTACTCGGCCCAGCTCATTGTCTCGCTTGGCCAGTTCTACGGCGACGTCCTGTACTACACGACCTCTCTTTTCGACCATTACATCCTCAACCTGTCCTACTCGCGCCCTGAGCAGTTTTACTACTGGGGCTACTTTGTCCTCATGAACGCTTTCTGGATCGTTATCCCCGGATACCTCATGTACCAGAGTGTCATGGCCACATGGAGCGCATTTGCGGCTGTC